TATCGAGGAACCCCCCGTCGCCGACAAACCCACCCCGGTTTTTGTCGGCGTCCATATAAGCGAAGTCGCAGCGAGCGAAAATCAGTTCCAGCAGAGAGTTCCAGAGTTGAGTTCGGGAGAGACAGTTCCCAGAGTCAGTCTCCAGTGCTCAGTTGAAGCAAGCCTCGCATCGGCTGACCAAGATTCGCGCAATTTCCGGACTCATCTTCAATCCAAGAACAATTATTTTGAACAGCGACTTAGATCCAGACCACCAAAATAAGTTTTTTTCGACCTTCGCCCGAAGACACACAAAAAAAAAAACAATTTCTTAAAGAGCAAACAACTTGAAGTGTTAAAACTCGCCTAACGGAAAACAACGTGTCACAATCCATAGAACGGGTCGGGAAATAGACGCAGTCCTATGTATCCAACAACTAGACATGAAGTTTGTTATCCTTTTCTTTGATACCTTGAACTTTTGAGTTATCATTTTATTTCTTTTATACGTATTTGTGCGATACCACCCCCGCTTGAACCCAACTTGCATACGTCCCTAACGAGTGATTGATTTCGTCTGCCTAAGATCAATTCACAACGTGGGTAGGCAGATTGGAGATCAACGCAGTTACTTTAGTAACCAGACGTTGGAAGCGAATTGGGAACGACGAGGCTGATATCGAATCTAACCAGATTCCCATCCGAATCACCAAAAGGTTAGAACGTCACATTTGGGTGCCGCGACCGATATCAAGCCAGTTGGTCGTCACAGGACGAGACAACACGACTGACGCAACAGGCGGACGTCACGTTTGGAGCGGCGACACCCGAACGAAGCAGCGAGGAGCGAGCGAAGGCTGTGTTCAGGGACATCACATTATTAATAAATACAAAAAAAACAACACTTAATAATATCAACTATGAACATGGACACAATATCTTGACCGTGTTTTGAAAAATGAAAACAATCTATTTCTTATTTAACAATTAAAATATTTCCTCCTTGAAAATGGCTAAATGTATAGCGCTCGGGTTAAAAGAACATTCGGACAGTTTTTATATAATTTATCATGCGAAAGGAAAAAAAAATTAGATCACATAAGAAATTGTATAAATAAGACTAAATCAAAGCACCTTGTCTATCGTATTCATTAATGAACTATGCATGAAATAATGATTTCTACCTAAATACACAAATATATATATATATATATATATATATATATATATATATATCAAGTATGTGGTGCAGTTCAATTTACATTACATGTTTTTTGTATGAATGATTCATGTAATATATATATATATATATATATATATATATATATATATATATATGTGTGTGTGTGTGTGTGTGTCCGTCGTTTTACAAACATAACTGAAGGTATTTTACCTACTTTTCTTCTTGTCTGACATTTTCCAAAATATATTCAAGTAGTAAACAAAGATAGAAGCAAGTTATCCTGCTTTCTGTCTAAACAGAAGTTCTGCTAAAAAGTCACCGTCGACGGAGATACAAGATAAAAGCGGTCATATATTACGGATAAAGAATACAACATTAACCTTGCACAATGATCTTAGTTTACATATTTGCATAAGCGTCTATCGTTTCTGAGTATGTCTTGATAAACAGACTTGCTCTTGAGAAAAGGCAAATCATCGTATGATGATAGCACTTATATACTAGAGCCATCCAGACAGTCTTGTTTCTTGCTAATTTTATTGTATAAATAATAAAAAAAAGAAAGAAAAAGGTATAAAGAATATCTTTTGTGAACTTTTAATGTCATTTTGATTCCGGCAAGTGGCAATTGGCCGAAAAGTTTCTTTGAAGAAAAAAAGACGAATCCAAAATCTAAACAAAAAAAATAAAAATAAAAATAAAAAAATCACTTCATTTTCATTGGCCATTTTGTCATCACTCCATTTCTCTTCTAGCGTTGGCATCTTTATGTATGAAGATCCAAAGTTTGGACAGTTCTCTTAAACCATGAAAAGAATAACGACTCGAAAATAAGTATCCAATGAGTGGGAGTATTCCAAAGTTTTTTTTATTTTTTATTTATAACTGGAAAGATGTATTATACACCATTGCTATTCATCTCACTGTATATGTCGTAGTTACTATGATAAAATAGGAGTGATTATTTTCGGAGTTTCTCGAGTAATACAGGTCGGATAAAAGTGTTAAAAGTCATTTAATAATCACATATAATTTCTATTCTAATGAAATTCATTTTTGTTTCTTTTTCGTTTTTTTTTTCTTTCTTCTGTTTTGATCTTACAAGGGATTATTATTAAATGACGTTTAGCACTTTTATCTAACCTCTATTACTCAGGAAAATGGGCACCTCGGCGTGGTGTAATGGTTAGCAAGCTTGGATCGCTAGAACAATTACGACTGAGTAGTGAGTGCGATCCTCACTGGGTGCCCCCTAATTTCGGCCTTGTACTACATCTAAGCTACGCTTGGAAAAGCAATATATGGGGCACCTCGAGACGGTGTAATGGTTAGCAAGCTTGACTCGCTAGAACAATTACGACTGAGTAGTGAGTTCGATCCTCACTGGGTGCCCCCTAATTTCGGCCTTGTGCCACATCTAAGCTGCGCTTGGAAAATCACTACTACTCAGGAAAATACGTATTACTAGTCTTCATATTGCATTCATTTCTATGCTTGGTTGGCCAAAAAGATTTTGTAGCCTAGCATATGTGCTGATTCCTTATGGTTTCGTATTTTCTAGCAGTGTTCTCTATTATTTCAACCTCATCCCACAGGGGCGGATGATCTTTCTTTTCCCTTCATAGCTAATTTTTCTATTTCCCCTCATGTTACGGCTTTACGGTGTTTCTGCATTCTTATCTTAAGGGGGCAGCCTGTTTCTCTTTTATATTTCTTAAAACAGCCGCATGGGACTGCGTGAACACAGTTCGTAATCATGTTCTCCTCTATGGGAAGTTTAATTCGGAAGACGTGCCTGCGAAGTGTTGAAGTACTTTTGAAGGTCGCCCTACTGTTATATGTACCACAGATCTTTTGCATTTTTCCGATAATCCCTCTACATAGGGTAAGCAGACCTGAAGAAGGCAGGAGCGTACAACGGCCGAAACGTCGTGAATGTGACAACAAAGATGAGGACAGCAATCCGAACAAAGTAAATATTCCACAGCCATATAATCATCTGCCTCTCGCGTCGTAATAATAATAATATTGAAGGCTTAATTTTCAGATAAACCATTATGAATAAATAAAAATAGTCCCTGCCAGTTTCATTTTACCAAACAAGATTTCGACAGAGAATAATTGTAAGCAAGACCAAAGGTTTTTATCCAGTTTACAAACATTTCATCATGTCCGATGAATTTTTGGCAGGTAGAGTCAATTAAAAAAAATAAAGATTCTTTAAAATGGGGCATCCAGTTAATTATCTCTATATATAAAACAGAGGATGTATGTGTGTCGATGCGTCTGTCTATTTGTCTGTCTGTCTGTGTGACACCTTTTCATTCGAGATCCATCTAACTGGTTTTGACCAAACTTGGCACATAAATTGTAAAATGTAAGAGATAGGTTCTTAGCGTGAAATATCGATATTTTTTTAAAATCAATAATCGATAAAGCCGATCAAAAATCGGCAAATATCATTCAAACTCAGTATGTAGGTTACTTACATCATGACGAGCTCAAAGGTATCTCATGTTTATTTCTACACCACTGCGAAGTATGAAAAATCGATTTCAACACAGCTCGATTTCAACAAAAATGTTAAGCTAAAAACTCCCTCAATTTTCAAGCAAGCTAACACAAACTTCACTCATTTGTACCCAACAGTAAGTTCATTATTTAACAGTCATTTAATTTGATAATTGAGTCCACCCATAAGTGAAATCACGCGTAAATAGCGAAAAATGACAATTTTTACTGGTTTCTTTCTTATTTTTCGTTGATATTTCAACCAACTTTCATGAAAGTTAACAACTGCTTTATAAATGTACACTCTTTCTCATCCCTGGTTGCACATTGGAAAACTTAATTTCAAAAACTTCGAAATAATTGTGATCTGAAGTGGGTCTACATGTTGCCTGTTTTACCCCTTTATGTTCTCAGTTAACTTCGATTGAATAAATACAGACTACTTCTGTTATATCAGTAACTGCATTAAATTAAAATGTTTTTTTAATGAAAGTGCTTTAAAGTAATTGAAGAAGATAGTTTCTGTTACATTTAAACATGATGCTGTTTTAGCTCCATTCTAATTGAACGGTTTTTTTTCTGATCGACCAGCTGGCTATGGCTGCTAGTGCAAAATAAACTAACAAAATACTTTTGAAATACACTGTTTTTCGTTATTAGCATCAGATAATTATATTACACCTGATTATGTTTAGCTAATTCATGAGTTAGATCTTTATTTGCTGTTTAAATTATAAACTTAATGAGAGAGATTTCATTACTAATGCGTAATTTGCATTAGAAATCAGCGCCTCGGCCGTAATTAATCCCACGAGACAATTACCTAAAAACCGAAATGTCTCTTCATGAATTTGATGACAACTGTGATGTTAATACTGGTTTCAGGTTTAACAGACATACCGCTCAACGGAAACATCGCAAGTAATTAGCGAGCCGTACTAAATATGAACAAAAGGAAATAACCCTAGGCACGGAAACAGGTGGGGGAGAAGAATCTACTTCCGTAGGTTATGTAATGTTTTCACTTCGAAATTACTTGAAGCTTATCCCGATTAAGGGACATCTGAAGAAGGCCTGACGAACCATCGGTAGAAACGTTGTTTGATTAACAATAAAGACGAGGACATTTATTAGAGTGTAAATGATAAGTAAGGATTAATGTTGCTCCCTAAAATTCAGAGAGAAATAAATATATACAAAGAAGAGATTTTGTGAGAGATGAGAAAAAAGGATGAAGAATGAAATATTCAATTCGGAACTGTATAGAATTGGAAAACAAAAAGATTGAGAAAACAAAAATTAAGAAAATAAGTAAGAAAGAATTTTGTCATTCAAATGTAAAAAGACAGAAGAAATAATATAAGATAGAGATAAAGACATACAGAGAAGCAGAAAGAAAGAAAGAAAGAAAGAAAGAAAGAAAGAAAGAAAGAAAGAAGGAAAGAAAGAAAGAAGGAAAGAAAGAAAGAAAGAAAGAAAGAAGGAAAGAAAGAAAGAAAGAAAGAAAGAAAGAATAAGAAAAGAAAACAAAGAGTGAAAGGAGAAGCATTTTTAATAAAATAAAATGAAAAACTAGGATAGAAAATAAATAAGAAAAAAGGACATTAGAAAAAAAGAAAGAATGAAAAGAAAGAAAGAAGAACAGAAAAGAAAGAAAGAAAAAGAAAAAAAAAAAAATGGAATGAAAGGAAAGAAAAGAAAAGAAAGAAAAAAGAAAGAAAGAAAAAAGAAAGAAAGAAAGAAAGATAGAAAATAAAATAAGAAAAAAGAAAGAAAGAAAGAAAGAAAAGAAGAAAGAGAATGGAATTTAAAAAAAAAAAAAAAAAGAAAAAAAAGAAAGAAGGAAAGAAAAAAATAGAAGAACAGAAAGAAAAGAAAAAGAAAGAAAGAAATAAAGAAAGAAAAGAAAGAAAGAAAGCTTGGAATGGAAAAGAAAGGAAAATGAAATAAAAAGAAAAAAAAAGAAAATGAAAGAAAGAGAAAAGAAAGAAGGAAGGAAAGGAAAAGAAATGGAAATGGAAAGAAAAGAAAAAAAGAAAGAAAAGAAAAGAAAGAAAAGAAAGAAAGAGAAAGAAGGAATGGAAAAATGAAAGAAAGAAAAAGAAAAAAAAGAAAAGAAAGAAAGAAAGAAAGAAAAGAAGGAAATAGAATGGAATGGAAAAGAAAGAAAGAAAAGAAAAAAAGAAAGAAAGAGAAAAGAAAGAAAGAAAGAAAGAAAAAAGAAAGAAGGAGAAAAAGAAGGAAGAGAAAAAAGAGAGAAAAAGAAAAAAAAAGGAAAGAAAGAAAAGAAAGAAATGGAATGGAAAGAAAAAAAGAAAAGAATGAAAAGAAAAGAAAAGAAAGAAAGAAAAAAAAAAGAAGAAAGGAAAAGGGAAATGGAATGGAAAAAGAAAGAAAAGAGAAGAAAAAAAGAAAGAAAAAAGGAAGAAGAAAAGAAAGAAAAAAGAAAAGAAAGAAAGAAAGAATGGAAGGAAAAAGAAAAGAAAAGAAAGAAAGAAAGAAAAAAAAGAAAAGGAAAAAAGAAAAGAAAAATGAAAGAAAAAAGAAAAGAAAGAAAGAAAGAAAAAGGAAAGAATGAAAGGAAAGAAATGGAAAAGGAAAAGAAAGAAAGAAAGAAGGAAAGAAAGAGAATGGAATGGAAAGAAAGAAAAAAAAAAAAAAATAAGAAAAAGAAAAGAAAAGAAAAGAAAAGAAAGAAAGAAAGAAAAATAAGGAAGGAAAGGAATGGAAAGAAAGAAAAAAGAAAGAAAATGGAATAGAAAGAAAGAAAAAAGAAAAGAAAGAAAGAAAGAAAGAAAGAAGGAAATAAAGAAAGAAAGAAAAGAAAAGAAAGAAAAAAGAAAGAAAAAAGAGAAAAAAGAAAGAAGAAAACAAAAAAGAAAGGAAAAAAAGAAAGAAAGAAAGAAAGAAAGAAAGAAGGAAGGAAATAGAATGGAATGGAAAGAAAGAAAGAGAATGAAATGGAAAGAAAGAAAGAAAAAAGAAAGAAAGAAAGAAAGAAAGAAGGAAGGAAATAGAATGGAATGGAAAGAAAGAGAAAAGAAAAGAAAAGAAAGAAAGAAAGAAAGAAAGAAAGAAGGAATGGAATGGAAAGAAAGAAAGAAATAAAGAAAGGAAAGAAAAAGGAAAGAAAGGAAAGAAATGGAAATGAAAGAAAGAAGAAAAGAATAGAAAGAAAGAGAAAAGAAGAGAAAAGAAAGAAAAAAGAAAAGAAGGAAGAAATAAGATGGAAAAAAAAAAAGAAAAAAAAAGAAAAGAAAGAAAGAAAGAAGGAAGGAAATAAGGAATAGAAAGAAAAGAAAAAGAAAGAAAAGAAAAGAAAGAAAGAAAGAAAGAAAGAAAGAAAAGGAAAGAGAATGGAATGGAAAGAAAGAAAGAAAGAAAGAAAAAGAAAGAGAATGGAATGGAAAGAAAGAGAAAAGAAAAAAAAGAAAGAAAGAAAGAAAGACAGAAAGAAGGAAATAGAATGGAATGGAAAGGAAGAGAAAAGAAAAGAAAGAAAGAAAGAAAGAAAGAAAGAAAGAAAGGAAAAAGGAAGAAAGGAGAAAGAGAAGAAAGAAAAGAAAGAAAAGAAAAGAAAGAAAGAAATGAAAAAAAGAAAGAAAAAGAAAAAAAGAAAGAAAGAAAGAAAAAAGAAAGAGGAAATAGAATGGAAAGGAAAAGAAAGAGAAAAGAAAAGAAAAGAAAAAAGAAAGAAAAAGAAAAAAGAAGGAAGGAAGAATAGAAAGAAAGAGAAAGAAAAGAAAAGAAAGAAAGAAAGGAAAGAAAGAAAAAAATGAAAAAAGAAAAGAAAAAAGAAAAAAAGAAAAAGAGAATGGAATGGAAAATAAGAAAAAGAAAAAAAAAAAGAAAGAAAGAAATAGAAAAAAAAAGAAAAGAAAAAGAAAAAGAAAAGAAGGAAAAGAAAAATAGAATGGAATGGAAAGGAAAAAAAAAAAGAAAGAAAAAAAAAGAAAAAAGAAAGAAAGAAAGAAAAGGAAAAAGAAATGGAATGGAAAGAAAGAAAGAAAGAAATGGAATAGAAAGAAAGAAAAAAAGAAAAAAGAAAAGAAAAAAAGAAAAGAAAGAGAAAATGGAAAGAAAGAAAGAAAGAAATGGAAAGAAAGAAAGAAAAGAAAAAAAAAGAAAAAAAAGAAAGAAAGAAGAAATAGAATGGAAATAAAAAAAAAAAAAAGGAAAGAAAGAAAAGAAAATAAAGAAGGAAGGAAATAGAATGGAATAGAAAGAAAAAAAGAAAAGAAAAGAAAGAAAAAAGAAAGAAAGAAAAAAAAAGAAAAGAAGAAGGAAAAATAAAATGGAATGGAAAAAAGAAAGGAATGGAATGAAAAGAAAGAGAAAAACGAAAGAAAGAAAGAAAGAAAAGAAAGAAAGAAAGAAAGAAAAAGAAAAGAAAGAAAGAAAGGAAAAAGAAAGAAGGAAAATGGAAAATGGAAAGAAAAGAAAAGAAAAGAAAGAAAGAAAAAGAAAAGAAAGAAAGAAAGAAAGAAATAGAAAAAAGAAGGAAAGGAAAAGAAAGAAAGGAATGGAAAAGAAGAAAGAAAGAAAAAGAAAGAAAAAAGAAAGAAAGAAGGAAATAGAAAATGAAAAGAAAGAAAAGAAAGAAAGAAAAAGAAAGAAAGAAAGAAAGGGAAGGAAATAGAATGGAATAGGAAAGAAAAAAAGAAAAAAAAAGAAAAGAAAAGAAAAGAGAATGAAAAAGAAAAGAAAGAAAAGAAAGAAAGAAAAAAAAGAAAGAAAAGAAAGGAAAGAAAGAAAAAGAAAAGAAAAAGAAAGAAAGAAAGAAAAGAAAAGGAAAGAATGGAATGGAAAGAAAGAAAGAAAGAGAATGGAATGGAAAGAAAAAAGAAAGAAAGAAAGAAAAAAGAAAGAAAGAAAGAAGGAAGGAAATAGAATGGAATGAAAGAAAGAAAAAGAAAAGAAAAGAAAAAAGAAAAAGAAAGAAAGAAAGAAAGAATGGAAAGAAAGAAAGAAGGAAAGAATGGAAAAGGAAAGAAAAAAGAAAAGAAAAGAAAAGAAAGAAAAGAAAGAAAGAAAAAAAAGAAGGAAAAGGAAATAGAATGGAATAAAGAAAGAGAAAAAAGAAAAGAAAGAAAGAAAAAGAAAGAAAGAAAAAAGAAGGTAAATGGAAAAAAAGAAAGAAAAAAAGAAAAATGAAGGAAAGAAAGAGAAAAGAAAAAGAAAAAAAAAAGGAAAAAAAAGAAAGAAATTAAATAAAAGAATGGAATGGAAAGAAAGAGATAAAGAAAAAAACGATGGAGAAACAGAGAAAGAACAAGGAGATAAGGTAAAATTTAAAAAAGAAAGAAAAATATTTTGAAAAAATAAAAGAAAAATGAAAATTAAATAAGGAAAATGAAAAAAAAAAAGAAAAAGACAAAAAAAAGAAAGAAAGAAGAAAAGAGAAAAGAACAGAAAGAAAGAAAAAGAAAAAAGACAGACAAAAAGAAAGAAAGAGAAAACAAGAGAAAGAAAGAAAGTAAGGAAAAAAACTAGATGAAAAAATAAATAAATAGATAAATAAATAAATATATAAATAAAGAAAGAAAAAAAGAAAGGAAAACGAGAAAAAAAGGAGACATATTTTTAATAAAATAAAAGGATAATGGAACAGAAATTTAATAACGAATTAATACTTGTGAAAAAATAGAAGAGACGACATAAAAAAAATTAAAAAATAGAGAAAGAAAGAAAGAAAGAAAGGCAAAAGAAAAAAAAGTAAGAAAGAGAATGAAATAGAAAGAAAGAGAAAAAGACAGAGAAAAAGAAAGACGTTAGATCAATTTTATCTAACAAAAGAAAAGGCCACAGGACCATAAGAATACTGAAGACATACTAACGACTGGTAAAGAGACAGTTTTCCCTTCTTTCGAGTGGGGGGGGATTTCCAACTACACAAACATAAGTTAGCTTAGAATGGTTAGACCAAGAATCATGTTAAATTAGTCGCACAGAGTGGGGGGGGAGAGAGAACAAAAAAAATAGATAAATAAATAAAATAAATACATAAATAAGTACACGAATACGTTGGGATATATATATATATATATATATATATATATATATATATATATATATATATATAAAAGAAAGAACAGTAAGATATATAATCCGGTGTTCTTATAGATATTTTTTATTTTTACAAAATAGTGCTCAATGAAAATTTACAGAACATTAATATTATAAATTGATTTATTTAAAATATGTTTTTTTTTCACTACACAATTCTAACCATGTTTCAAAAATGGAAACTAAAAGCTACGAATTTAATTTTGTAATTAAATTAAAGACATTAGTTCCATTTCATCCTCAAGCGAATTTTGGAGTAACTTTTAAAATTAGTGGGTTTTAAAGACACAGCAAAAATCATAATTCATGTTTCCAAGGTTACAGATAAATCTACTTCAACTGGACGAAGGGTGTTTGCGTGTTCATTATGTCTGTATTATTGTATCCGTTTTTTAGTTACATTTTGGCAAGGGTTAGGGATGTATTTTTCAATGAAATCTGACATCCGTTGAATGCATGTCGACTGGATTTTTTTTTTAAATTTATTGTTAACAGCAAAAAATTCTTACGGCATTTTTTTTTCCTATTTGTAAATTTAAAGATTTTTGGGGGTGTTTAGGTTAGAATACGTTTTATTTAACTACGATTTGAAATATTTTCATTTATATATATATATATATATATAGAGAGAGAGAGAGAGAGAGACAGAGATTTATATATATATATATATATATATATATATATATATATATAGAGAGAGAGATAGATAGATAGATAGATAGATAGATAGATAGATAGATAGAGATAGACAGAGAGACAGAGAAATATACTTTTGTATGCTTTCTGGTAGAACGAAATTATACTCACCGCATGGCAGAAAGTGATTGTCAGCTTGCATTCTGGTGGGTGTACATCACACCCTATCTCAGACAAGCAATATGGTTTCCGCTACGCCCGATCTACAGGTGATGTGCTTACGGCCATCACTGAAACCGTCTACCAAGCCCTTCAAAATAACGGTGAGGCCCGTGCCGTGGCCCTAGACATCTCCAAAGCGTTTGAAAGGGTTAGGCATGCCGGCCTTCTTCGCAAGCTCCAGGGTTATGGTATTACTGGTCGACTGTCTGATCTAATACAATCATTCCTGTCAAACCGAGAATTGAAGGTTGTTCTCAACGGATTCTCCTCCAGTCCCTATCCCACGAACGCAGTTGTTCCCCAAGGCTCCTTCCTTGGCCCCACTCTATTCCTTATTTTCATCAACGACCTTCCTGACGCCATAGATTCCCAAGTTGGCATCTACGCGGACGACACTACAATTTACTCCTGCCTCAAAAACAAAGCTAGTGTCGCTGACAAAACTAACCTGGCCTCTCGTCTTGAAATGGACCTCCAATCGGTTGTTAACTGGGGCAAGAATTGGCTGATCAGCTTTAACGCCTCAAAAACTAAACTACTCTCTATAAATCACCATAGAGATCCCCCCCCTTAGAATGTCTGATAGTCAACTTCTTGAGAGCAATTCTGCGTCTGCTCGGTCTCACGTTGTCTGCTGACCTGGGATGGAACAAATACATTGAGTCAATTGCTTCGTCCACCGCGAGGAAAGTTGGCTCTTTGTGCCGCGCCAGGAAATTTTTCTCCCCGGAATCGATACTTCAAATATACAAATCAACCATTCGCCCTTGCATGGAGTATTGCTGCCATATATGGTCTGGGGCACCTTTTGTTTACCTCGGAGTTCTTGACAAGATCCAGAGACGGATATGTAATATAATTGGCCCTAATCTGGCATCTCGTCTACAGTCACTCTCTCACAGACACGCCGTCGCCTCTCTCTGTCTTTTCTACAAATACTTTCATGGTAATTGCTCCGATGAGCTGCTTTCACTGGTTCGCAGACTCCATGAATTCAAGCGACCTACGAGGCTGGCATCCCGCTCTCACCCTTACACTGTATAAACTTTTAAATGTAGTCATCTTTTTTACTCCGATAGCTTCATACCTCGCACCTCTCGCCTGTGGAACACCCTTCCCAATTACTGTTTCCCTGAGAGCTATAATCTCCAACTATTCAAATGTAATGTCAATCGATATCTCCAGTTACCTTGATCTATCCACTATCCCTCTCCTCATCCTTTCTTCTATCACTCCTAACTGCTCTCGCTCCAAATCTTCTGCAACCCTCTGCATCTTAGTGGATTCACGCCTTGCTCGAGGCGTAATGCTTAAAAAAAACTGAATAGAGAGAAAGAACAAGAACGACGGTAAAGGAAATAAATGAATGAAAGAAGAAAGAAGAGAAATATTTTTAATAAAATAAAAGGCAAAATTGGATATAAATTAAATAAGGAATTATGACTTGTGAAAAAAATAGAGGAAAAGAAAAGAGAGGAGAAAAGAAATTTAGAAAGACATCGAAAGAAAGATAGAAAAAAAAGTTTGAAAGAAAGTAAAACGAGAAAAGGACAGACTGCCAGGAAAAAAGAGAGAAATATAAAAAGACAGGAAGGAAGAAAGAATGAATAAAAGAAGAGAAATATTTTAATAAAATAATTAAAAGAAAAATGGAATAGAAATTAAATTGAATTAATTCTTTGGGAAAATAAGAAAATAGAAAAAAAGCCGGATAGAAGAAAGGGAAACGGGCGACAAACAGACAGTCAGAAAGAAAGAAAGAAAGAAAATGAAAGAAAGACATAAAAAAGAAAAAAGAGAAATATTTTAATAAAATTATTAAACAGAAATTTCTGACAAAAATTTTAAAAAAATATATTAATACTTGCGAGAAATATGAAAATAAAAACATTCTAAAAATACTAAAAAAATAATTGTACCTAAATAATTTAAAGAAATATTTAATAATCAAAGGAAGAATGAGATTTTAATGAACGATTCCAATTAAAGAAACGACTAATGTGGTAGCTGATAAAAATTGTAAATACTTTTTCCATGCCTGTCCAAAAACTAAACCTACTGACTTCAGATCTTTGTCGCACCAGAACGAGTTAAACAGCAGTGATGTAAGTCTTCCTCTCAACATGCTTTGCTTAATCGAAAGAGCTAAATGCTTTAGGTTTTGGTCAATTCGATTTGTGGGTTAAAAGCCACACCATGTTATCGTTCGAACAATCTCGTCCCACCTAAAAGGTTAATTGCTTTTGCATTAGTATGGTAAGACTTTACTTTCTATGAAGATAAAACGGGAATGAAAAAAGAAATCAATTTGTAATAAATTATATCCAAACCAATGGACAGAGATAGTGAGCAGAGAACAACTTCTGTCATGGTTTCTCGGCATAGAAATACAGAAACATTCGTGTACAAACAAGAGACACACTTATGTCACATATACTGACACACTGTGCTTTGCATACATTCAATTAAGACTGTCTAGTCTTTCAAAGTATAAACCGTTCCTACGGACAAATCACGATCCAAGTGCATTTGCACGTTACAGGTCTAGAGCATGCACAGATCATTTACTAAATTAATTTCGGCACCAAGGCATAGTCATGGGCACTTTCAGAAGCTCGAAAAGTGCACACTGGCAACCATAATCGATATTTTATCATTTTATACTAGCATTTATCCAATACAAGCATCGAGAATGACTCAGGGTAGTGAGTTATTTTAAAATTGTAATGATCAGATATGAATGAAGGAGGATGGGGATGTGATTATGAGGATAAGGTAGGTAAATATAGATTGACCCTTGACTTGAAGAGGTCAAAATGAGGTGTTCCGGAAATCAGCATCTAGGGTGTCTGTTCTACAAAGTGTCAGTTGTTAGGGAAAAGCTGACTGATTTTAGATATGAGCGATACAATTCTATGAAAAGGAAATCAAAAGATTGGAATTCATCTGAATATTTGCCATGGAAATAGCGATAGAATAGCGATAGGGTCTGCTAATTTATGTCTCTGGGAAAGAGGTTGCATTGTAAGGATTTAGTCTTCACCCTCAAGGCCACGTAAATGAATTTGAATTCTGTCTAGAATGGAAAGAGACGATTGTACACCTTCAGTAAGAAAAATGGCAGAATTTCTATCTTGGTCTGAGTATTGTAATGACAAAGTAAAGTAGAGGAACTTCAGTATTACTTTGAGTGATAGAATAAACCGGGCATGGTTTTTTTTTATCATCTTTAGTAATGGATTGTATTAGGTCATCCCATAAGTTCTGTCCGAATTTTAACTTGTTAAAATGAACGAAATTTAAAGAGTATTTTATAATGTCTAATGGACCTGAACATTATTTTTATGTTTAGATGTATTCAAGAGAACAATAAAATTAAAGTTTGTTTGATTAAAACCCTGCTAACATGGAAGTACCCAAGAATCATTTGAAGCACATAATGCTTTATGAGTTCAAGAAAGGAAACTCAGCAGCCGAAGCGGCTAGAAACATTCACTCAGTTTATGGAGAGAAATGTGTGAATGAAAGAACTTGCAGAAGATGGTTTGCAAAATTCAGAGGTGCAGATTTCACCCTTGAAGATGAAGATCGAACCGGACGTCCAGTTGAGTTTGATGAAAAGCTTCTTGAAGCAGCCCTTGAAGAACTTCCTGCTTTATCAATTGAGGAATTGGCAGTGGTTCTCAGTTCAAACCATACAATTGTTCATCGCCATCTTCAACAACTTGGAAAAGTTCCTAAACTTGGAAAATGGGTGCCTCATGAATTGTCTGAAAACAACCTCAAATCCCGAGTTGACATCTGCTCTTCTCTCCATTCTCGCCAACTTGTTTTACCTTTTTTGGATAGACTTGTGACTGGCAACGAAAAATGGATCTTTTATCGAAATGTTAAGCATCGTAGACAGTGGCTTGGTAAAGGGGAAGGACCTCAGCCACAGCCGAGAAGGGAACTTCATGGGCAAAAGGTTCTTCTTTCAATTTGGTGGGATCGCCAAGGAATAATCCACTTTGAATTCTTACCACCTAATGCAACAACTAATGCTAAAATATACTGCCAGCAATTAGAGCGTTTGAAACAAGCTTTGAGGAAAAAGACCTGCTCTAGTGAATCAAAAAGGGGTTATATTTCCTCAGGACAAGGCGCGAACCCACACAGCAAGAATCATGTCACAAAAGATCAAAGAACTTAGTTGGGAGAAAATTCCTCATCCACCTTGTTCTCCCTATCTTGCTCCTTCAGACTACCATTTGTTTTGTAGCTTACAGAATCATTTGGAAGAAACAGCTTTTGTAAAACAGGAAGAGGTTAAACTGACATTTGTGAGTTCTTCGAATCAAAGCCAAAAGAATTTTACAGTAATGGAATTAGTAATCTTGTTAATAGATGGAAGGAAGTCATAGATAATCAGGGAAAATACATTGTTGATTGAATCTGTAATTAAATGTAACATTTGGTCACTTGTTTTCTTTATTCAAAATTCGGGCAGAACTTTTGGTATGGCCTGATATATACAAGTTGCACTTCAAAACTGAACTAAATTTGAAATAGAATAGATACTCAAATCATGGAACTTCATCGAGGTTGTAACTGATTATTGTTGTTGAAGAAAACTCAAAGACAGAGCAGTGATGATAAAATGATATTAGCTTCTTTATAAGGCATTGAAATTTACAAACCTTTATTCTACATTAGAATTGTTAGGCTCCGATTACACTGTCTTTCTACGTACACAAATAGACTTGTCATTTATATAAAGGTTTGCTAATGATCTAGGAATATTTGTAGTCTTATCGTAAATAAAACGGTATTAAATTTAACTAATCATTGCTGAGTTCATATTCACAGATTTTCCTGTTAATGTGGACATTGTTTGGAAACAATTAGGCGAAAACAATTATTCCAAAATAATTACTCGAAAAATATTTCAGGTTGTTCAGACAATGCAGATGCAAACTGCCCATAAACCTAAGAAAAATATTTGTGAAAGTTGGTATATAACAATCAGGACAATTCTAAAATTTATTTTTTATATGAGATAAAATCAATAAAAATCGTTATTTTAAACTTAATTCCTAGTTATGAAAAAGAACATTTTTTTAAATATTAAAAATTCTCTTCGTTTCCTTATTATTTTCGTACCTCCTTAGATGACATATCGTAATACATTGTTTTGAATTTGATATTTCTAAATATACACAATATAACCACCTAGCATGAGAGAAGTTTACATATATGTATATACAAACCCTGCAAACGAAAAATAAATATATATAAAAAGACTCAATATCAAAGAATATCAAAGAAAATATTAAAGAGAAAATAAGACGCTTAGAGCGAGTAAAAAATAAGTATAAAAATACAACTGTCAAAGGGGAAAGTAAAACTCTATTATACAATTTGGAGGGAAACCAACACCGGTAAGAATTGAAGGAATCATAAAAGTGAAGGAAGGATGAAAGGAATTCTACATTAAATGAATAAAGAATGATTGCATAAATGAACGTTGTAGAATTTCTTAATAATAAAAACAACAGAAGAGAAAGAGAATGAAATCAGGAATATAGGAAAAGCCTTCTGCACATTGAGATCAATGTGTTAGTCGTATAAGAAGTGCAGAAATATTTTTATATTGTGCTCCATTACTTTTGATGGTGTGTTGTGTGATAATCGTTCTCCAAAATTTCCAGTCGTTGGTTGTTCTCAACACAAAAAGAAATCTACAAGAATTCCTACAGAAGGCAGGGAATGAAAGCGAAAAGAAAGGATTAAACACTAATTGCAAGAACACCGAATCCATGGTTGTTAAAAAAAAGGAACAGTCCAACATTCAAATTACAAATTGAAGATACGAATATCAAATAAGTACAGCAATTTAAACATTACAAATTGGAGATACTAAAATCAAATAAGTACAGCAATTTAAACATTTAGGGTTTTTTTTAAAAAAAAACAAAAAAAACACTGAAAACCGAAGAAACATTTGGATAGTGGAAGATGTTTTGCAAAATTAAGCGAAATATTAAGAAACTGAAATATTTGATAGATGCAAAGAAAAGAGTTCTGAACTGTTATATAATATCAGTCTCCCTATATGGTAACGAATGCTGGACAATCTTCTCAAAGACAAAGAAAAGAATTGAAGCAACAGAAATGTAGTTCTACAGAAGGATGCTGAGAATACCATAACAAGAATATATGAGCAACGACGAAGTTTTATAGAAAATGGAAAAAAGGATACTTCATAAAATTATAAAGAGAGAGAAGAAATAACGAGGAAACATTACTTGGAAATTATACGGCAAATAATGAGGAAAGATTGCTTGGAAAAGTTGACACTCACAAGATTGATTGAAGACAAGATAAAGGAAAACAACGCATAACCTACTTAGCGAGATTAAGTAAATGGATGATGAAGCAATGTTTGGAAGGGACAATAAAAAGATAAAATCTATTAAGAGCTACAAAGAACAGGAAATTATGGAGAGACATGATCGCTGACGTGGAACAGGGTATATAGAAGAAGAAAAGGAAGTAATTTCTGAAGCTTTACCACTTTGTTCTCATTCTCAAAATCGTTCAGTTTATTACTCGCTGTGTTAATTCTTCCATCTCTCTGTTAAATTCTGTAAGTCCCCAATCCTCGTTTTGTGTTCCAGTCGTCAATTTTGATTATAAGTACCATTTTCCTTTCCCTTGCTATTCTCTTTAAAAACAAGCCACGCCTTCTTGCTAACGTGTTCTCCCCATTGACTTCTTAACTATCTTCGGTGAAATTATTAAAAATATATATAAATTATAGGTTCGGTTTCTTTTGTTTTACGGTATATCAACCTCAATTGGTTATTTAATGCCGACAATATTTTTATTGCTGGTTTAATTTTTTATCTATCTATCTATCTATCTATATCTATCTATATCTATCTATCTATCTATCTATTGGTTTGGTTTTGTCTATCGGCATATCAATCTCAATATTTTGGTTTGGTTTGTTTTTGTTTTACGGCATATTTTTACTCAATGGGTTATTCAATGCTCAAGATTTTTTTGGTTTGGTAATATTTTTTTTACATTATCTATCAATCTATTTATCTCAGTATGTATTGGTTTAATTTTTTTTATTTTACGGTATCTCATCAACCTCAATGGGTCTATGCTATCAAGATTTTATTGTTCCGGTAATATCTTTTTCTATCTATCTATCTATCTATCTATCTATCTATCTATCATCTATCTATCTATCTATCTATCTCAGTATGTATTGGTTTGGTTTGGCTTGTTTTACGGCATATCAACCTCAATGGGTTATTTAATGCCGACAAGATTTTTATTGCTGGTAATATTTTTCCCAAAATGTATTGCTGGTAATA